AAGATATCCATCTATCAATTAAGGGACGAGTATGCTGTGAAACGTGGCCATTAAGAGTAGATGAGACTCGTAAGTTACTAGTATTTGATCAGAGATGTCTTAGAAATATTGCTCGCATATGCTGGGATCACCGAGTAAGTAATAGCAAGATTAGAAGCAGGGTATTAGGGAGTGATGGTAAATTATTTGGTGGGGTTGTGAATCATCATCGATTGAGATGGTCGGGTCACGTGTTACGTATGCCTGAACACCGATTACCACGATGCTTAATGCTGACTACTGTTGGAGATGGCTGGAATAAAGTTAGGGGCAGCTAAACCAAAACGTGGCGTCAGTCCTTGAAGTCCTTAACTAAAGAATAAAAATAGTTGGATTTAAAACCTTATCGACCGATAATATCGAAATAAACTTCGAGTATCACATAAACAAAGAGATCGTTTACTAAAGTGATGGTAATACTGCCAACTTCGTAGAATTATACTTGGTTATGTGAAACAAAACCATGAAACTAGTAGTGAGCTCACATAAAAGCAAGGATTTTGTGACAGACATAAAAAAAAACGAAAAACTATCAGTACGATTAACCGAAAGTAGAGATAAAACAAGTTAACCGGCGACTGTATATATAACCTAGTTATATATATTAAAACTATGATACCCTATTGTAGACGCATGTAAAACTTTCAATTTGTTAAAAGGGAAGCCTATATGACCGCATTGGGTGGACTGATGAGACTCCCATGATAGATTAAGGTGTCGATGTTTTCAACTGCTCCATTCCCTATCATTAATTCAGGTAGATACAGCATGATGAGTACGTGAACCATGATATACCCAAAATAAATAATTTTGATGATTTACTAAGGAAACGGGAGCACTAAATATACATTGGAAACAGCTATGAAATAACTTGAAGGTTGTCACGAAAATTAGCGATTTGAAATTACACAAAATGGATATTAGAGTATTAAGGGTAAAATCCTTTCTTTACAATGATGGAAAACTTGTCAATACAATTTTAGAGTGAGTGCGCTGTAACTGACTGTACCAAACAATTATAATTTCGAGAATAAGATGGCTGTTAAACCGAAAATGACCATGCTGAATGACTGGCTAGCATAGAGATTGTTGCATGAGAATTCAAACATACTAGCTGCCTCAGACTCGGTCAAAGTTGAAAGTTTAACAGAATAGTCAATGGACATTATCGTTAACATGTTATATACACCATATAGTTCAAGTTGCCACACCTCATTAGCACAACAAGATGAACATCAAATTCATAGTAGTTAATTCAATAGTGGTAATATATAAAAGAAAGATTGTGTATAAGGATATAGTACAGGAATAAATAATTAGTTGGTAGAAAGAAAAATAAGAGTGTATACACCTACGCCATTGTGATCGATTCTGAGCCATGTCACTCAGTCTCCAACCATTGGTTACGATAGTCACGCAGACACCAACCAAGTAGTCTGTATCTAACAACATGATTAAGACTAGAAGTATTACACATGCCCAACCACCGTTTACCACGACGCGCAGTGCTGACTAGGGTTGGAGACAGATGGAAGGTTAGGGGCGGCCGAACCAAAACGTGACATCAGTCCACAAAGTCACTTCTTTCCTTAAACCGTGTGATTAAAATTTTCTTATAACTTATTTTCCACGAAACAATTTCTTCTCTGTATTATATCCATAAATGCGATCTTTGTTTTAATACATTACTACAACTGAAGTAACTGCTCCTATGAATTGCTGTTCATCTTGTTGAGCTAATGAGGTATGGCAACTTGGACCGACGCATATATATGCCTGGTTTTACGTTGTAGCTGTTAACCAGAAAAAATCATTTAAACATCGTCCAGGAAGTTGAGGGCTTTTCATTCAGAAGAAATATGATGCTTTGTCTCGTACAACTTTCTTAAAAAGTATCCGAGGAATCGACCCTCCTAAACTCGCCCATATTCGTAAGGAATACAGTGATTTTCAGCACGAGTTAAATTTGACAACCCTGAGATTAACTCCTCCTGAAGCTCATCCAGGGTAACCGCCGGCTATAAGCCAGGGGAAAGGAGGAGCGTTGGGTGTTGGGTGAACAACTTCACTAAAAAGACTATAAAAAGAAAAACAAGTTAAACTATGCAAAATATGCCCTCATGGTAAAAGTTGATATTCTTTGAAAGACGGAAGGACGACACCCCTTCTGACAACCAGAACAACAATGAACATAAGCACATGGAATGTCCCCACAATATGAGAGACCGGGAAAACCATTCAAGCAGAATCATGAATGAAAAGATACAACCTAGAAGTGCTTGGAATAAGTGAAACCCATCTGACCCAAGTTGGACAGGAAAGATTAGCTTCGGAAGAAATGCCGCTGTACTCTGGTCACGAAGAAAATGCTCTACACACATAGGGAGTTGACCTGATGCTATCCAAAGAAGCATGAAAAGCACTTATAGGATGGGAATCTTATGAACCCAGGATCATCAAAGCATGGATAGGGAGAAAGGAACCAGATTCACAAATATACGTGCATTCAACAAAACAGTTATAGGCCGCACAATATTCCCCCCACAAACACATGCACAAAGCTACATAGGACTCACCGGATCATACTACAGAGAATCAGATCGATCATATTTGCATCACTGAAAAATCCAGAAGGTCCACGGAAGACGTGAGAACAAGGAGAAGGGCTGACGTGGCTTCAGATCATCATCTGGTAGTTGTCAAGATGAAACTGAAGCTAAAGAAGCATTGGAAAACTAGGAAAATAGCATTATAAAGGCTTAAAAACAGCCTGCCTTCAAGATACTGGTAAACTCAGCGAATTCAAAATAACTCTCAACAACAGGTTCCAAGCCTTACAAGATTTACTCAAAGAGGAAGAAACTACTATGGGGGACAACTGGAAAGGGATCAAAGAAGTACTAACTTCCACGTGTCAGGAAGTTCTGGGCCGCAAGAAACATCATCATATGGAATGGATCTCTATCGAAACCCAAGGCAGAATTCAAGAAAGGGAGAACAAGAAGATAGCAATTAACAACAGCCGAACGAGAACAGAGAAAGTCATGGGACAAGCTGAATACACAGAAGCAAAATAGAGAGTGAAGAGAAGCATTAGAACCGACAAGCAGAAATATGTGGAACACTTAGAAACGACAGAGGAGAAAGCTACGACAGAAGGAATTATGAAACAACTATGTGACACAACGAAGAAACTGTCAGGGAACTATAGTAAACCACAGAGACCAAGCAGGAACAAAAAAAGCAAGAGAATAACTGAGATTCGAGAACAGATGGGTAGAATACTTCGAGGGACCCTTGAATAGGCCAGCCACACTGAACCCACCGGACATCGAAACAGCACACACAGATCCCCCTAGAGATGTCATCCCAAATGAGGATGACCATCAGACAAATCAAGAGTAGGGAAGCAGCAGAACTTGACAACATACCAGCTGAAGTACTGAAGTCAGACGTAGAAGCAACTGTAAAGATGCTCCACGTTCTAATCAGAAAAATTTGGGATTAAGAGCAAGTGTCGACAGACCGGAAAGAAGGATACCGCATCACAAAGTCCAAATTGTGACACTACGGATCATTTTTGACCATCAATTGGATGGAAATCATCACTATACACCAACTTCCCTGGCTATGAGGCAGTGGTTGAAGCGCCGATAGGGGGACGTTATACAACCCTCTTCGACAGTGTGGTGTACTTGACAAGATCTTCAACACCATATGGAATTCTTACAACGGCTACACTACAAAGTGGTGCATGAAGGACAACTCACAGATTCATTGTAAGTGAAGATCGGTATTAGACAAGGCTGCTTGCTTGCTCTCGCCTTTTCTCTTTCATCTGGTGGTTGACTGGATTAAGAAGACTTCCACTTCTGAGAGAAAGCATAGAAACCTCGGACGCAACTAAACAATCTAGACTTTGTGGATCACTTAAATCTTCTATCTCGTACACAGAAACGAATGCAGGTGAAGGCAAACAGTGTAGTAGCAGCCTCTGGAGCAATAGGCCTCAACATTCACAAGGCAAGAAGATCCTGAAATATAACACAACGAGCACCAGCCAAACTACAATTGATGGAGATGCTCTGGAAGATATAGAAACTTTTAACATACCTGGGAGCGTTATTGATAAACAAGGGGGATCTGATGCAGATATGAAAGCATGGATTGGTAAAGCAAGCGGAGCATTCCTACGACTGAAGAACACATGGAACTCGAAACAACTGGCAACCAACATCAAACTCAGAATCTTCAGTACGAACGTCAAGACAGTTAGTTATATTGTACGGAGCTGAAACCCAGAGAACTACCACAACCATAATCAAAATGGTACAATTATTTATAAACAATTGTCTACGTAAGATACTCAATGTCTGTTGGCCGAATACCATCAGCTACAACCTACTGTGACAGAGGACAAACCAGCTTCCAACTGATGAGGAAATCAGGAAAAGACGTTGGGGGTGGGTAGGACATTGGAGAATATTGGTTGGAGGCTTATGCTCTACAAGTTGTAACAGGTGTAAATAAGTAACGGGTCACTTTGCCTACTATAGCTTTGTCAGCTCCAAGTGTTACCAAGTTTTTGAATTCAGTCATTCAGTTATAATCAGCATACCTCTAGCAGAAATCTGTTTGTGATATCAAATTTAATCGAAGTTCATGGTCAAAAATATAACATATGATATTTCAGTTTCTTTTATGAGAATGCTAGCAACTAAAATGATATTAATACTCGTCGAATTGTTGCAAACACACTTTGGAAGGTAAAAATCTCTCAGATTTCAGAGCATTACAAAAAGTATGAAACTGACTAGAAAGTGATGTGTGAAGTATTACCATACTATACTACTTATCATTATTTATACTCAAAATTATTATTATTAACACACAAAATCCATATGAAAATTCCAAGAAATAATTTGAATGAATTATTTGGCGAAGGATAGAAAATTACTTACGTATCCGAGGTATTCTTTAGTTCACAAGATACATCACTAGTTGTGTTCTTCTGAACATTAGAATAGTGAACGTTGCCATAAGTCGTTCTACAGGCTGGTATCAGTGCTTGTTTGCGACGTGTGCGACTGGTTGTTGTGGTCAAGTTTTCTGAGGGTCCAATAAAATTGAAGGTCTTTGAACTAATCCTTGGAGAAGGTTGATTATCACCATTCACAGGTAAACAACTATTTCCAGACTCGTATGAATCCAGTTTAAGGGAAGACACGTAGTTTGTATAACTATTACTCTTTTCATAAGACATGAAACACTGTTCTATTTGGACGCAGATAGATGTGCTTGGAAATCGAAGAACGCACCTTTCAAGAAAATAACGAAATATATGAATATATATATAAGGTTAGTGTTAGTGCACACCCCAGTTTATAGGTAATACAAACTCACATTTTTGTTGAGGATGCCGATAACTTTGGCCTCATCTAATAAAACTACTTTCTGTGTAATCTAAGTACGCTAGGTGGATTATCATTTAAGAGAAATAAGGGAAGAAAATTTGCTACCTGAAGAGGAAATCAACGAGAGTTAAAAAGAGAATGATGAAAATTTTCAGTCTTGTTATTTGAAACTACCCCTCGTATACACATTTATACAACTAGGGGAGTTAGCTTCAAATAACCACCGAGTACCCTGGTACGACCAAGGGTGGAGAGTCACCTCTCTCCCTTGAGATGGGGAACATGAGGTCGATGATCATAAGAAAACGGATGGGGTTCACACCTATTTTGATTACAAGTTACCATTCGACTGGATCTTCTGGCATTACTTCACTCTCTTGTACATTAGAACCTTATACAGAATACATTTACTTTCTACCTTATTTAAACTTATTGTTGCTTATACATTTAATTTTTGGTTTGAACCCATTTAGCGGCTTGTCAGTATTGAAAGCTCTGGGCTGCCTATAGGGTATCAAATCTGTTCCTGGATGGTTTTCAACGTTTTCACTTTGATCCAGATAGGACGACAGATGATTTTGTCTAACTTACTGGAAGGCAAAGGTATAGGTGTATACTTATATCTGATACCTGTATTCAAGATCCTAGTGAAGTACTACAAAAATGATGATCGGAGAGTGCTAACATTTCGGAAGATATGTCTGAATATTGTAACTCCCGGAAACCGTTTTAACTTATTCGAGCTACTAGTGGTAAGAGTGGTGTCAGTGAAACCATTCATAAAGCTGATGGCATGTTAATTAATAACTTCCAAAGTCAACTCGAATGCCAGGCAGAGCACGTTGAGTGACAGTTAGTTTGGCCTCTTTTGTCAGTTAGGCCTATTAGACTATCCTGGGCTCCGTGGCCTGTGACTACTGATTCATCCGATGAAGCAGGTTTCATAAGGAACTTGAACTTCTGAATCATCGAAAGTAACTAGACCGAGACGGACTTCGCACGACCCTTGATAAGAATGACTTCGTAGTTACAGCCAGAAAACTGAATAGGGTATTTTTACAGTACTAGAATAAAGCGACTGTTTCCATTTCTCAAAATGGCCCACGTAATTTATGTAACAATTATTGAGTTGTAAGTTTGCTCCTAACTGCTCCTATACTATTGGCTCGTGAAGAGCAGTCCAGGTTTTGCTTAGATCCTTTTATTTATTTATGTAAACATATCAACACCAAATACATATGCGCCACACTTCATCAATCAATTTGTGTGAGGGCTGGGATACTGTACGGGTGTCCAAACCGAAACAGCTGATTTTCTTAGGAAGCCACTCCCCAAGCCTATGACGTACAGGTCTAATCCATAAGGCAGTGGAGCAACGTTAAGAGATACAGTCCCATGGTAACCGGTGACCGATAATAGGTTAGTACACCCACTCATTGCAGGCCAATAATTAGTGTGTTCCTATATATTAGGCCAAGACTGTACCCGGAGATTGTTTATTGAGAAAAGATTTGAGAATTACATTGACATTTTGAGGGCTCTGTACATAAACACATTAGGGAGAGTGGAGACATAAGGTTAGTGTTCTAAAACAACCCCGAGTTAACTAGGGTCGATCAATCTCTTCACACCCTTTCAATTTCAATTTGGAGGAAGGAAGGATGATACAGAGGCTATCTGAATTGCATTCAATCAGTTTGAAATTAGTGTCCGTAGGTATGGCGATTTTGAAATCTAAAGCACTATCGTAAGATTAGCATGAGTCTGTAACTTTACTCGTTCTTTGTGAACTATTGGAAACAATTGAGGAGTTTGTGCATCAGAGTAGTAAGTGATGGTACTGGTTTGGTAGATGAGGTAAATCTATGTATACTGAGAGTTAGAGCGGTTGATCTTAAACTGAGTCATTTTTATCGTCCTTCTGACGTTAATGCGGCTGTAAAATAAAAGGTTTACAATGTATCAGAGAGAGATGTTTCACTTTATACTTTGAAGCCTGGACACTCCCAGCGGAGGATATTTGAACACACTGTGTTCGGTTATTGCTGGCTCCGAAAGACTGCATACATTTTGTTGGCAACAATATATTAGTATTGCCGAGGTTAGGGAACGTATGTTCAGTTGCAGTAATGATAGTTCGATCGGTGTTACCATCAAGAAAAAACGACTTCTTAGACACATATCTCCATAGTTTTACATCCATCAGCTACAAAGAAATTTGGTCAGATGCCTTATGAGCGGAGCAAAACAGACGTCCTCAGAGGATACCACCAAGGAGTCGAGGCTTAATAAAATACTGACAGAAATAGGCTGCTTTTTTAATTACATGTATGCAGAGATACATAAGTTGAACCGCTCGTAAGAAACTTTTGTTCTTAAGACTACAATTTAACAGGGATGTGTCTAGAGATGTCCTGCATGATAGATTTGCGAGGGCAGTTAATAGAACATTTTATGCAGCTAGTCTTACTTTGAACAGTAATGTCTACTCAAACGAAAGATGAGCTACCTGAGTTTACCTTATCGATATGGATCTACAAATTTAGCTGATTCATTGCAAATACCTAATATTGAGTAAACTACTAGCTCGGTTTGAAAAAAGACATACGAACACGACAAGTAGCTGCATTTTAACATATTTGGTTGACAGTGGTCATATGATAGAGTAAACTAAATCATTTTGAGTGACTTATCGTACACTTTGTCGTTTTGTTATAACTTTTGACCGCCGATTAGAGGCCAGTGACTTATCGATCGGATCAATGACGTGTAAACCCGTATGAGCAGCCTAGAGTCCTGATTGGTCCTGCTTCCTGCCTAGCCCAGCCAGTTAAGTCCAGGACACCAATCCGAGCCTCTGCGATATGAATCGTTCTATTTCAAATATACTGAGTTTATATACCAATCAAACAGATCACACCGTACCAATAAAATATGAAACAACATTTGTACAAGAATTAGCCAGATGTGGCTGTGAATGAGGGAGGTAGTAATTAATATACTGGGTATAAATCAAGAATGGTAAAAAGTATAATAATAGTTTATGGGTCAAAATAAAGCTTATAATAAGAGGAATATGAATGTGCATAGTTTAGTTACTCAATAATTATACAATGAAAATATACGTTTAGTATTGGCCTATCAATAGATCCTAAAAGTTACCATTCATTATTCTTGTAGGGACATAACACGTTTACTAATGAGGTTCCACCCCGTGTCCTAAATACAACAGAATCTATAGGCATTCGAACTCATAATTTTTATTTATGTCAAGAAACTGGTGAAACTTCTGTCCTTTCCTTGACCTGACATAACTTAAACAATTTTACGGATTTTTCCACATTCCGTATTAGTTTGTCGTTCTTCACTACCTGATTATTTACACAAGTTTTTCACGTCATTCTGATACTTTTGTGATTATTATTTTAGTCCATTTATCCATAAGTTTGATCTAATACCTATGTTGCCTTGATTAGTTTAATATTTTCATAAATAAATATTCATGTATATTAGAGTAAAGACTGGTGACGATCTAAATCAAAACAATGTTGTTCGCTTGTGTTGTTCTAGTTTATCAATCCATCACAACTAAACTGGAAATCGTTATCACATATGGATTAGAACAAGGCTATGAATTTTTCACATAGGTGAGTATTCATTTAAAGAAATCTTTCTTGGTTATATTTTTTATTTAGGAAGTGCCATATTTTGGTATCTCTCTATACCCGAAATATCACATATTATCAATGAATAGAGTTAGATGAGCTTAAGATGGGAACCATGAACGTGAAGAAACTGTTTATTGCCAACACAAGATATGATTGGAAGACATTTAAGTGACTGCCAGTTTGAATAAAAATCAAAACAATGAAAACCCAATAGTCTATTTGCAAACCTCGTGCGCTTATCCGGGGACCCTGTGGCATCTTCGTCTGGTCTTGCTGGCGTTGGTGTCGCACTAAGCGCTAGAGCTGAGGCAGCACTAGTCGATTGGATCCCCATTAACAGTCGGTTATGTGCTGTTAGATTAGAAAGTTCCATCAAAGTGAGAAGAAATCGGCGCGAGAAACAATGTCTTTTCGTCATCTCCGCCTATGCCCCGACAGATTGCAGCCCGGATGAAATCAAGGATGAGTTTTACCACCAGTTATCAGTTCTTCTCCAGAAAGTGCGTTCGACAGATATTGTAGTACTAGCCGGAGACTTGAATGCTCAGGTCGGGCGTCTAGGCACAGAAGAGAGTCGCACTTAATCAGTTGGCAATCAGTGTCCGTAGGTATGGTATGTGCTTTGCACCTTCGAAGTGCAAAGTACTTCTACAAGACTGGCAGGATTCTAATCCTGTACTCACCCTGGACGGTGAGCAGATAGACGTAGTTGAGAAGTTCGTGTATCTGGGTAGCTGCATAAGTGCTGGTGGGGGTGTGAGTGATGAGATCAATGCACGAATAGTGAAAGCCAGAGCGGCTTATGCCAATTTGGGCCACCTTTGGCGCCTTCGTGATGTTAGTCTGGCTGTAAAAGGCCGGATCTACAACGCGTCGGTGAGAGCAGTTCTGCTCTATGTTTGTGAAACCTGGCCTCTCCGAGTTGAGGACGTTAGACGACTCTCTGTGTTCGATCATCGCTGTCTCCGAAGGATTGCTGACATTCAGTGGCAACACCATGTCAGTAATGCAGAGGTTCGGCATCGTGTGTTCGGGCACAGAGATGATAACTCAATTGGTGTTACCATCTTGAAACACCGACTTCGGTGGCTTGGACATGTTCTACGAATGTCGTCCCAGAGAATTCCACGTCGTGCTTTATTTGCCGACTCTGGGACTAGTTGGAAGAAGCGGAGAGGTGGTCAGTGCATGACATGGCGTCGTGGTATGAAAGAAAGCTGCAAAGGACTGGCTTCTGTCGGTCCTTCACGACTCCCTGGTTGGGGTCCGAGAGATGGTGCTACACAGTGGCTAGAGACGTTATCAGATATTGCTCAGAATAGAAGCCAGTGGCGATCCTGCTGTAACCTTCTTTTACTTTCTTCATAAAAAGTGGTTGTGTCTTCCCTAACTGAAAGATTTCTTCTGATTGTACCTTTTCGTTCCGTCGTTACTACCACACTACCTTACTCCAATCTCTTCGTCATTGTTCTCTTTTTCTTTTGCGTTCCTTAGTTTTTTTTCTCTTTCTACTTCCCTTCGAATTCCCATTGTTTTGTGTGGCGCATATATATTGGCGCTCTCTTGTACCAATATTTATGTGTTCAAATAAATAAATAAAAAAATAATAAATAAGCACTTACCTTGGTGGGATGGACAGAAACTTGGAACTGTATGGTCGAAAATTTTGGTCAATAAAAATTCCATTCTTGCCTTTGCACTTAAGTTTCAAGCAGTCAGTTTTCCAGATAATTTCTAAATGTTGCCGAGAAACATAAGAAGAACAGCCTATATCAATGTCAACGGGGTACACGGCTGAACCCCGACCTATTGTAATTTGATGTTTTACCATTTCATATGTGGTTTTTCCCGTTGTTAGACGCGCATAAACTGTCGGCATGTTGCGATCCATGTGATGCTAGAGAACGCTTAAAATTACACCACACGACCAAATAATATATCCATTACACCAGTAGCAACACTAAATTCCAACGACAAGTATTAAAAGTGAAGAAACTAAGGTAAAGATTATTACACTCAAGCATGAACACCAAATTAATACTAAAGACGAAAAGCATTTCAATTAATAAAATTCTCGAAGTTTTCTACGACTCAGAAAGTAGGTAAACGTTCATCTATCCGTTTTGTGTGAGGGCTAGCGACACTAATCGACTGAGAAAACAAGGTAGAGAGGAGTTCGGATCTAAGTTTCAACAGTTGAAAACTAAGTTCTATCCGTTAACCGGTTGATATTTTTAGCAGTTAGTTGAGGAGAATGTAGTACCAGACACAAATGTTATACTGCCCAAGTTGTAAAACTTTATATAAAGACAGTGAGGGGAAGCCAATGGAGAAACCAAATGATTTGATATATTGGTGACTGAGGAAAAAAATAGATATGTCGGGTTAGATCATACTACACTATGTTAACAGACTAATTAGGTTTTAGGGAAGTAATTGAACGTGTCAACTGCTGTAATCATCTGGGAGGTCTACTCAGTCCTGGTGCGTGTCTGGCAACATATGGGCAAGTATTCAGGAGGCCCGCTTGATTTTTACTAACGTGTGTTATGTGGCATTCGTTACCTAATGAAGACACCAGAATACTGTGTAGCAGGTTTCTTTGTTCTTCTGTACGGTTGCGCAATGGGGCCTTTCAAAATAGAGTATATCTGTAGCTTATAAGTAAATGAATATATATGCCTTTAGAGCACTGCTCGTGTATGCTTGGACCACCGAATGAGCAGTGTTGAGGTTAGATGCACGGTCTAGATAAGGATGGTGAATCGACTTATAAGGTGGTAAGTCCTCATCGACTGAGGTGATTGTGACGTGTTATAAAAGCCCAGCCACCGCCTACCTTGACATGAGATTCCTGCTGATTTGGGGGGGTAGGTCGGGAGAAAGTTAAGGGTAGCCAAACCAAAATGTGATACCGATTCACTGATCATTGACTTGAGCTGTGTTGGTAGGTTCGGACTGTCTGGTCGAGATCAAAAAGATTTTCATAATCAGTGAGACTGAGTGACAGCTCAGAATTGTCGGTAATAGTGCAAGTGCATTCAATTCATATCATCTTGAGCTTTGAAACCATATTACACCTTTAATCCCACGAGTTTATATCTTCTTATAGTATACAACCTTACTACTGTCAATGTTTCAACTGATTCAGGAATAATCTCAGTAATTACCCCTTGAGTTGTGGATATGTACCAACTTAAACAGACGCAAGTATGTCCCAGGTACTGAGTTGCGTATCAATTGTTGAACGATTTTGAAATAGCGACTTCATGGTCATAGTACATTAATAAAGACATGCTGCTGACTATTTGTCACGTTTACACAGCTCTTCTTATACCACTCATAGACAGTAGTTTTCGAGCATTGCCTATTGTACACCAGTTATGTCAGTAACGTTTGTTAGCATTCTTGGGTTAGTTACAGCTAGAGGTTCTTTGTGTGATAGTTATCTCGGAGCAGGTCAATAGTACCTAGTCAACTTCCTGAGTTAATATAAACTCTGACAAAATGCATGTTCACTACGCGTAGCTTTACACACTGAAAACGTGATTTCTATACTAAATTTACACATCGTGTTTCGGACTAGTATAAAGACCGGCACGCAATTCACAGTGTTCGTCAAAACTGCTGAATATGATATCAATGATAAGGAGCATCTCCTCATTAATCATTAATTTTCACCTGATTAGTCCGTATATGAAGCATAATCTAATCTCCCTATATAATACATTACAACAGTAAGTCTGAGATATTTCACTGCGCGAGACTGCTAGCGCTGATGTATAGAAGTTTCAGATACAACAGACAGGAGCATAAAGTATATGGTGGAGTTTCCATTAAATTGATTTCTGAAGGATAAGTACTTATGTACTCAACAGTATACCACAGTGACTATAATCCGAAATAATTAATGGAGTGACAAAAAGAAATTTTGGTTAACTAAATGCAGACGTTCCATGACACAGTAAGCTTTAGAAATTTTAGCTACATACATTTAAGTAAACTGAGGCAAACGACCTCCAATGCTACAAATCTGATCCGCGCGCTCTAAAACTAATAACCTTGTAGAGGCTCACATATAGCTAGAAGGTATTTGGTGTGCTCAGGAGGCATTCAGAGTAAAGTGAGAGGGGCCTGTAGAAAGAAAAGCAAAATGAAAAGTGAGACAACAATCCAGCAAGCTAACGCAATGCACTTACATTTAATAGCGAAAGCAAGAGGCAACAGTTAGAAATAACGTAACCTTGAGTTAACAAATGGTTCAAATGGTTGTGGAATGAATAGAAGAAGCTTTCGCTTAATAGACTTCCGTGTCTAGTAGCAGTGGATCACCAGTACCTCCAAGCAGGAACCTAGGTATATATTAGATGGGAAACTGAAGCAGATAGTACAGTCTGCCACAACCTGTGGGATAAAATGATCGAATTCAGTGATGGTATATTATATACTGTCATGTAAACATAGTGTTAAACAGTACATTGTTCGTTCGTTCAGCAGTAAGATGGCAGATCCAGACTTGCGTAGTAAGGAAAGAAAGCCTACGGACTGTGTTATTCCTTTTTCTAGTGTGTGTTTAGTCTTCTCTTAAATGATGCAATTGAACGTGCAGATATCACTGCTTCGGGTAACAGGTTTCAAGAATTGATGACTCGGTGTGAAAATCTGCATACCACGGGTGTTTTGTTCGTTCTTGACTTTTCTGCACTCCTACTGTGTCCTCTAACATGTCCCGATCTAGTAGGAAGAAAATGAGAAGACATATGTTTTGCCCAAAATTATTTCTTAGAACATTATGTATCAAAAACAGATCACCTCTTAATCTGCGACAGGATAGGGTAAATAGGTCTACCTTTCCAATCCGCTCTTTGTATGGTGAACCTCAAAGTTCTGAAACTGCACGGGTAGCTGCCTTTGTACGTTTTTCGGGATATCGGAGTCACCTTTTAAACAAGGGCATCAGTCACTCCGTAGTCCAGCTAGTCACGATATTTAAGTCTGCCTGAAGTACATACGCAACCGCGTCTCTCATTATTTCTCGCTAGATTTTCACATCATGAGCGTATAATAACATTGTGGACACAACTATACTTGAGAGTTAGTTCACACACATTATAAAAAGTAAAGAATGTAGGACAGAACCTTACATACTCCACTAAGTACTGGTCTCGGGGAGGAACATTTGAAATTTATTCTTACTTTCCGTCTACGACCTACTAAGTTATCGTTAAGCCATTTTAGGAAAGTTCCGACAAAGCCAAGTTTTTCTAGCTTCAAGAGCAGCTCTACTGGATAAAAAATGAACCGAATGAGTTTCATTATCAAACACTTCTAACGTCAACCATGTTTCAGGTGTAGCAACAATATCCGGGTTTTCTTCATCCACCATTTTCTTGAGCTCCGCCATTTTACTTTGAGTGCTGTGAGCATTTGTATAGCACAACTTCTAATTACGTGGAAGACTTTTTCTTACCATTGAGAGTGGTCTGAGGATCGTTTTGATCCAAACGTTTACCATCTGAAAACCTTTAAGTGCGAGGTTTTTTCCACCGTTTCTACTTCAGCCGATCGTCTCTTGGTACGGTCAACCAAACTGAGGCATATATTCTGAACCCAGTCAAGTTGCGTGTATTTCTCAGTGTTACGTTTCTTTCTTCAGCCGAAGCAATGGTAACCTTTAAGATGCGGCTTTTCTGAGTACTTATTGAATCCACTTTTTGTCATATTCTCTAAAGCTTACAGATGCTAACTCCTGAAACTATTTCGGCAGAAGCTGGCTTATTAAGGATTCAATGTGGCTGGGGTCGTGTTCAAATCTAGCCTTCGGTTCCTTTTCGGGAGATTCGCTTAACGTATGAAAAATGACTGACCTGTAGGCGAGGTCCGTCTTAACACGCTTCAGAACATTAACTCCTGAAATCTCCTCTTCCCTGCAATCCGAGTTGGCGTCAAACGCAGGGGCTTCACTCTGTTTTCCTACTTCACTTTTTCTGAGTTCAAATGGTTCAAATGGTTGTGGGATGAATAGAAGAAGCTTTCGCCTAACAAGCTTCCGTGTCTAGGAGCAGGGGATCACCAAATCCTCCGAGCAGGAACCTAGGTATGTTAACAATAACAAAGGAAAATATATTAGTAAATCACAGTGCGATACTATCCTTAGTCCTTAAGAATAGATCAAGCTGCCTCTAAAAGGACTCCTGGGACGTCGCTTGGACTAGCTCGACCGGCAGCGAATTCCAGCATTTGACAACTCTCAAGGAGTAGAAGTTGTGTCTACAGTACGTTCTGCTATGTTGTGTCTCCAATTTTTGGGTGTTACCTCTTAGGTTAGTGTTCAAACTAAGCTTAAGTAGGTGTTTGAGAGGATGTCCAGAAGTGTTAAGGATACTATAAGCCATCAGACGTCTATACTCTAATGGGTAAAGGTTAAGTGAATGGAAGCGCTCTTCGTAAGGTCTAAATTCGAGTCCTCGAACTGATTTCGTGGCTCGCCGTTGGATACGCTCCAGGGTGTCCTAATCCTTTTGGATTGAGGGGGGGAAATACTATGTTTCCGTACTCTAAATAGGGACGAATAAAACTATTGAAGATTATACGGAAAGTTCTTCCGTCAAACTGGCCAAAAATGCGCTTCAATGTTACCAGTGCAAGGTTTGCTCGAAAGGTATTTTTGTCACAGTCAGCATAAGACCTCAGATCGTAGGGCACCAGGACTCCTAAATCTTTTTCGACTTGGGATACTACTAGAGACGAGTTTCCTAATTTATAACTGTAGTCTGCGACATGTCTCAGATGGACTACTTTATACTTTGAAGCCGAGTCAGATCCTCCTGAAGTGCCTGTATATCGTCTTGGTTGCGTATCTCTATCCAAAGTTTCACGTCGTCGGTAAAAAGTAATAAGTCTGACATTACCTGTTAAGGAAGATCATTTATATAAACCAAGAAGAGAAGAGGTCCTAGTACTGAGCCCTGGGGGACCCCACTTAGACATTCCGCAGCCTGAGATAAAGTGAACTTAACTCTGACCTTAAAATGTCGATTTTTCAGTTATGAAGTGAGCCAATCGATTAGAAGTGGTCTGATACCCAATCGTTTGAGCTTATTGACAAGACATGTATGGTTAACCTTATCAAAAGCTTTTGAGAAATCAAGGTAAATGACATCAACCTTTCCCTTGCGATCGAGGATGCTTGTCCACCGCAGTCAGCAGGTTGGTTACACAAGAGTAACCCTTCCTGAAACCATGCTGTTGGGGTGAGAAGAAATTTAAGGACAGTAGATAGTCATTTAAACCGTCGCATATCAGGGACTCCATGAGTTTTGAAGGTAATGACAGAAGAGCTACCGGCCGATAACTTGAAGGTGCATTGCGTTGACCTCCTTTGAAAATTGGTGTGATGTGAGCCAACTTCCAATTTTCCGGTAATTTGCCTCGGATTAGCGAGTGTGAAAACATCACACTAAGCGGCATTGCCAGGATTGAGGCTGCTTCCCTCAGTATGGCAGGATGAACCATATCCGGGCCAGGAGAAGTGTCAAGTCTTAAGTGCTGCAATTTACGGAACACCAAGTCAGCGCTTAGGTCCACTTCGGAAAGTTCTGTGGAATTGCAGATGAAACTGTCGTCATTAACGTTGATGTCAGCCGGTTGAAATGTTTGAGAGTAATGTGCCGCCAGAAGGTTAGCGGCGTCGCCATCGTTGTTGGTCGGGCCGTTAAGACCTAGCAGTTGAGAAACTCCTGTTTTGGCTTGACGAAGTGAGGCTGCATAACGGAATAGGCTTCTAGGGTTAGAGGCGAATTTGTCCATAAGCTTTGTTTGGTACTGAAGCCTGTCTTCTCTTATAGCCTTCGTGCTTATGTTCCTTATATGTTTATATTGCCTATACGCTCCGTCGTTATCAGTTCGTTTGTACTCCGTCCAACAGTGCCTTTTGCGGCTTAGGAGGCGAAGGGTACGGTTCTTGATTACTGTAGGTGGCTTGCAGTTTTTGGGAACAGTTTGAGGAACTGAATGGTTTGTAGCACATAAGAGCATGTGCAGTAAGAAGTCCCAATGACCATCCACATCGATTTGAGGGTGAACATCCCAAACCACCTGTTGTAGATGGTCATGTAGAGCTGGCACATTCAGCCGTTTAAAATTCCAACCCAAGTTATTGGTGGGGTATCTTAGCTTAGTTTTGATGACAAAACTGAAGGCTATGACGGCATGATCGCTTTTCCCTAGTGGAGCCAGGATTGAAAAGTTGTCAACTGGAAATTCTTCGTTTGTGAATACACAGTCTAAGCGCGATGGTGTCTGACCGTTTCTCCAACGAGTTGCCGACCTCACATTTTCGTACAATCTCAAGTCATCGATGAGGTTGAAGAACCGAGCTTCAGTTGAGTTGTCGCCTCCAGTATACGTGTGTTCCGCGAAGTTGACTCTAAGGAGGTTAAAGTCCCCTTGAATCAGGATGTGTGTGAAACCGAGACGGGTAGAGCGGGATAGTCCTTCCGGCATACGACTATCGTACTCGATGTCGGCAATTGGCTTCCTGTAAATGACTCCGACTAGACACCTCGAAGTACTAGACAACCTTACAGAGCAACATATGGATTCCTCAAGATTGTTAAACTCGAGGTTGTGAACCTGGTGCACCTCCAAGCAAGAGCTTATGTATGTGGCTACTCCGCCCCCAATTCCTGTTTTTCTGTCGTTGCGGAACAAAGTCATCCCAGGTAATGCTAACTCTTGGTCCGAGAACTGAGAAGATATCCAGGTTTCAGATATTCCTATCAGATGGGCGTTGCTAAGTTCACGTAGTTCATCCAGTTTGTTTGGTAAACTCGCGGCGTTCATATATTAGCAGTTTATGCTTTCAATTTGGAACGCGTGAGCTTCGTCCTGTTTTTCTGTATGAACCTTATGTGAATGGACAGCTAGCCCACCTATGTGAGGTTTGCCGAGGTGGTAGGCCCTGTCCTTTACACGTTTTTTTATCGTTTAGACAGTCCACAAGTGAAATGGTCAGCTCCAACTTGCCCTTGTGTTTGGTCCTAGCTTC